TTTTTTTTTTTTTTTTTTTTTTTTTTTTTTGCACAAATTAGTGCATTTTCTTGTTAGGTACATGGATCCTATTATGTTTTCTCTGTTTAAAAATACATGTGTAAGGGATTGTAGTATGAGCTGCCTTTGGTGAGCCTGTGTTACATGTCACTTGTAATTTTCACTTTTTTTTAGACTGTTTTCTTGAGGAAATGAAGCTTACATGGTCACAATGTCCATTTCTCATCCTAATTCTCTTCCCATGGTAACTTTTGAATTTACTGTGAAATTTAAAGCAAGCTTGACAGAGATGGCTATATGTCTGGAGAATCACAAGTTCCAAAAACTAGACTGAAAATAAGTGATGTAAAGAATAGGACCTTTAGCCAAATCGGTGCGTCTACTGAACAGAAGACCTTCCAAGAAAAAGTTTAGAGAGCAAAGAGCTAATACAAAGAGGACGACAGGACAGAAATGCCCAGCTGTGATAAAAGCCTCTTTAGTAAGAGCTTGTGCTTTCTTTGATTCTGGAAAATCCAGTCATGAGGAGCAAATCCAGTCCTGAGGAGGAGAGAGTTCTTGTTTTGCCACTTGCGTTGCAAGATAGTGTGCCATAYGACTAAGGAGTGAAACTCCCAGATCTCAACAGAGTCACTCTACCCCCATTTTTCTCTACCTGTTATTGTGCATGGCACGTGTCCCCCTAGAAGATTCCTGCATGGAGAACCAAGAGGGACCATAACTTGCAGCTGCCAGTATGTATTTTCTGAAGGGATGGATCATATTTTTGCCATGTTAAAAACTGTTTTCTGAGAAGGGGTAAATTCAAAAATGTTATTTCATGCACATCTGTGGCTCTTTCCCCTTTTCTCTCTGCCTCCCTCCACTTGCATATGGCAGAGGCTTTGTATGTAATGAAGTAATTTGAGACTTGGCTCTGTTCAACACAGCGATGAGTTAAACAGTTTCTTGAGTCCCTTCCTGCCTTATTATTGGTGTTTTGCTATTGTGATTAAGATGCTGGTAGGATGYGTCGTGAAGAAAAATGGTATTTTATCACTGAACAGTGCTGTGGTGGCTTGGTGGTGATACTGGAACTGTGCAGTGGAAAAGTGCTGATTCTCTGGAAAAATAAGTATTATTTTAAATATGGGGACCCTACTCTAGACATATATGTAAGTTACTTTGTGGGAGGAAATAATAGTTATTRTCAGCATTTCCATTAAAAATGTGAACTTCATGTTTTAAAAATCTCAGAACCTCTAGCTTATGAAGTTTATCTCCCCCTTTTCTTTGTGCAAAGACTTCTGAGGGGAAAAGATGAAAGGATGACTTTAGCAATCTGTATATACCTACCCCACCCTGGATGAAAATACTTCTTTTCTGAAATGCAACTTGCCTGTTAAGCTCCTGCTGCCAGACTCTCTCTCTCTTGCATCATCACATCTTCATGCTGAGTCTTCACGATAATAAAAACATGCAGAATCAGGTCCTTCTCAAAGTGTATTGTGAATTATTAATCTTCAATTTACAGCACATGTGGGATTACAGATTGCTTGCTAGCTGTGTCTAAACAACTTAATTTTATAATAGTGGCATCACTCTCTTTTCCAGTGCTTGTGTGCATCTGAATGTGCCCCCAAGGGTGAGTTGTTAGTACACCCAGACTTCAACATTGCACCTTGTCAGGCTGAGGTGTGACTGCTCTGTTGGCCAATGCTGCCAAAACTTGCACCTGGGAGCTGCATGGGAGCAGGACTCTGCAGTTGGGAGCTCAGCTAAGGAGTGAAGTTATGTAGCCAAAACTGGAGAAATAAAAATGAGTTTGAACTGGACTGTGAGAAGCTTAAAAATGGAAATTCGAAAGTGGTGAGCTTTCAGGCACTGAATATGAAAACAGTCCGTAAAACTGACCTAGCAACAAATGAGGAGTTGTATACAGACTCACCTACTCTGGACACTATTAAAGAACTTTTGGTTTAAATAAGACAATTAAAAATATTTCCTGTGTGTCATAGAAACTGTTGCTGTAAAGATAGTCTGCAAAAATATTTTGAAATGTTTTTAATAAGACTTTGGGACTGAGTCTGTGTAGATTTTGCTTTTCAAGTTTGAGTTTTGTGCTTGGCTGTTTTATATGGTTACTATTTATAGTTGCAATAGAATGTATGTCTAATCTGGGTATTAATTCCATAGGATATTTGGGGATTAGTAACACATGGTTGTATGGCTCAAGTGGGATCATGTTTCCTGATGGACTCCCTATTGTGTTCATAGTAACAATGAAGCATGACAAGAGTTGGTTCTTTGGAACCACTGGATTTTGTTATGTTGTGTGTGTTGTGCTTGTTTAATTCTGTCCTTTAAAACCTCTTGTATAAAGCTTTTTTTTAATTTGTAAATGTTGGAGAATAACAAGATTGAAGTGGTTTGTGTATGTATTTTTGTTTTCACAACTAATTTTGCAAATGTGTGTGGGGAGGGATTGTGATGTTTTTCTTTTGTTGTGGAAGGAGATGGAAGTTTGAGAATATTTCTGCTTTTTTTTTCCTTTTGCCTTTTTTTTATTATTGTACAAACTAGAATGCAGTCCAGAATGGTGCTGTGCTTGTAACCAGAACATATTTCCATCTGCAGTCAGTCATTGACTTTGTATTGGACCCTCAGCAAAACCCATAAGAATTCACAGCCTAAGGCTTTGTWAGATCAGAAACTAAGCTACTTGGTTTCTTTCACATATAAATACAGTGATGTGGTATTTGCCTTTCTAACCATAGAGAAGAAGAATGTTTTAAATTAAACAAACAATCCATTTTCATTAAAATGCTCAGTCTTTCATTTAAATGTCATGAAAACATTGTTGTTCATATTCAGGCCTGATACTCTGTTCTTTATTTAATTCAGGCAATGTTTTACACAAGTGAGATGTGACGCACAGATCCTTGAAGTCTATCAGACTTAAGGGATAGCTTAAACTGCTTCCTTTCAAGGTGTCTTAGGCTGAAAAAAGGAAAGCAACTGAAGAAGGAGAGATAGCAGAGAAGCTGGACTCTAATTTGCGGTGCTCTAAACACAGGGCACTTTTGGTGTGCTGTTGTTTACTGTTGGTTTTCTGCATTGTGATGGAGCTGGTGAAGTCTGACAGAAACCCCTGTGTGAAATCTAGCGGASCCTGCCAGATGTGCAGTGTCCAAAATACCCTGGACATAGGCATGGACTTGCTGGAGTGCTGATCTGTAGGCCAGAGCTTCCTTCAGGATGCATCCAGCCCCTGTGCAGGTGCTGAAAAGTTGCTTTCTGCGTTCTAATGGTGGATTGTGAATCCTCAATGAACTTGCGACAACTATACATGAGAATTTTTACTGCTCCACRAGTGGCTGAAGCTAAATGTAGTGCCTGAGGCATAACCTTTTATTACTCATCATAGCTTTGTGTGTTTTTATTGTGTTTTTATATAAGCCTTACAAGATGTTTTTGTTTGTTTGATTTAAGGTAGTCGTCTTGTATCCTGAAGGAAGAAATCCAGGTGAAGAAAGACCATGCCTTTGTTTAGTAAATCGCACAAAAATCCTGCCGAGATTGTGAAAGTTCTGAAAGAAAACATGGCCATATTGGAAAAACAGGAAAAAAAGACAGACAAGGTATGAGGTAACATAGAAGATCATAAGGCTTTTATGCCCGGACAACAGTAGAATAAAGGGAATAAAATAGTGTTTACTCACTGCCCTGATTCTGTTAGTGCTCACCTGTGGAAGTAGCCATGTGTTTGAAGGGTTCTGCTGAAATCAGGGGGCTTTTGCATAAATAAAATACATCAGATTTGGGGGTCAAAGAGAAAATGCTCAGTTCCAGAAGCCTCAGCCAGAACTAAGGGTGATCTCCCATTATTTCAAACAGCAATAAATCTAGCAAAGGAGCTTGGAAGGCTGTGTGAAAACTATTGCACTGTTAATAGTTTTTGCAGGAGAACAAATGAGATTGCCAATTAATGTGTAAGTACCCACAGAGAAAAACTTTATTTCTGATTAACATTGTTTGCAGAAACCAGGGACTCTGTATGTGTCCAGATGTATAAAAAAGAGATCTCACTCTGTCCATCCTTTCTAATGTTGTGTGTACTAGTGCTTCCTAAAAGAGCTGAGCTACTAATTTTCTATTTATAGTGCTAGGCTGTTGCTAATATTACTGCTCTCTTCTAATTCTGTGACACAGACTCGAGTTACTTCTGCCACTTTTCCAGTGACTATTTGATAAGATGCACCTCAACACACAAAATGCTCCCCGTTAGGAGTTGTGCTTGCATAAAATTGAATTTTTACAATTTTTTTTTTTTTGCATCTGAGACTCTGACCCTCTATACTATTGCTGTAGTAGAAGTATATGGCTCTAGTTAGCAACAGACTAATTTTAAGTTAAAACTGAATGTCAGTGGGAGCAGAAATAACTGATAAGTTCTAATACATTTATTTAATACACTAATACATTTTCCATGGAGCTGATGTTTGCRTGTGTGCATGTTGTGCTTCCCCCACCTTGTGCAGGAAGCTGTATGAAAACAAACCCAACCCAAAAGGTAGGCATGGAGCCATTTGCACCCTTAATGAAATCCTCTTGAAAATTTTTGGTTCAAAGCAAGTAGCTCAGAGTGTAATTATGTAAGGTAAGTCACATGGATTTCTGGGAGGCCTCTGGTATTTGATGTTTCATTCTGAAATACCTTCAGTAACCTGAAAACTGAGAGAATTTTCCTCTGAACCCAAACATAAAATATATAACTAAATAAACCAACAGAATCTGTTCTCCCCTGCTGAATTCAGCCTTTGGAGCCTGATTAAAGAAGACATTCAAAACAGAAGCTCCATACTTGGGTTTCTTTTAGATTTGCTTTGCAGCATGACCCCTCTGGGTTGTGGTTTTGAGAATTTTTGGCTTTGAGCTGGTTTGTTTATTTGGGTGTCAGTGACAAGGAGAAATTCAGACTTTTTAGAAAATTAAGTGTTCATTGTAAATTCTTCATAGAAGTCAGAACAGCTAGTGTGTGTTTTCCTCACAGAGTAAAAGATACAGTGTTTCCCTGGCATAGTAGGATGGAAACAGTGAACTTAATGGTGCTTGTTTTACAGCAGGAGCCTGGTTTTCAGTTAGTTTTAATGTACTTCATTGCTGTGGGGTAGGGGCTGTTCCTGAGGTGAATGTGGGTATTAGGGGAGAGGAGGGAGGGGAATAATGCAGTCCCTTCCACAGCAAGGGAGAAGGTAAAGAAAGACTTTTTTGGATCAGTATAAGCTTATGTGGCTTGTTGACTCAGGACTTTGTGCTGTGATGTCAAGGAAGGGCCCTTCTCCTTGCAGAAGGAAAGATTTGAATGTCCTTGGTAATTCTGCATTTCCTCTGAAATGTTCCACTGAGCTGTCCTGAAATAATTACCTGGTAAAAAAAAATAGCTAAGTTTATTCTCCTGAGTTTATGGAAGCAAATCATAAGGACTACCGTTAGTGCTGAGATGATGATAAACTTTAAAAACTGGCAGGAAAAATAGCTCTTGCAAAACCAATCAGACCAATCACACCTGCTGCTGTCCATTCAGGCTTGTGAACTTAGTAACACCATTTCTAAGTGTTGTTTGCAGTTCGAATTGGAGAAAAGACAATGGGAGGAGTTTCAGTGGCCCACAGGTTTTCAAAAGATACTCAGTTACACTAATGAGCAATGTCTTTTCATGAGTATGATGAGAGAAATTTAACTGAAAACAAAAGCAAAGGAAAACAAAGCACAGTGCTGTATTCTGTGCTCTTCAAATCCTAGCAAGGTTTTAAACTTTACCCCCAATTTTATTTCCAAAGGGAGAAGAAATTTGTCCAACTTTCATGGAAGGGCATAGAGGTTTTGCTGCTGCAAGAGCCAGAGACTCTGGATGTCTCAGAGCTGGCTTTGAACCCTGTGGCCCTGTGAATGGAGAAGTTTGTGACTCAGGGCTGTCCAGTTTTTCAGATTTCTAGCTCCTTGTCTGCTGTAAGTGCTAGAGGAGTACTGCTGTGCCTCACCAGAAAACCAAGGCTCCCAGCACTTCCAGGGTACAACTTCAGAGCATCCCTGATTTTGYGTGCAAAATAGTTTCCAGCTAGGACTTGCTTCAGATGCTTAAACAAGATTTATCCTGTGACAATTAAGCTGTTATTGTAGTACAGCCAATGTGGTCTGTGGGTTGAGACAACTAAAGCTGCTAATACAGCCAGAATTGGCAGAGAAGAGGGGCAAAGCCTGAATTAACTGCATGGTTAGCAGAGAACCTCCTCTCTCCTTTCCCAGCTGAGAAGTCGTAAGTAAGAGGTGAAGATGCCGTGGACAAGGTCAGGAAGAGAAAGGCTTGATGCTTCTAATACAACCTCTGCAATTTTCAGCAGGAACCATTTGTATCTTGGAGGGGATGTTTTTAAATAATGCAGAATGGATCATTCCTACCAAGCTATGCAGCACACAGGTGTAGGGAACTTTACAGCAGCACTATTTAGACTTCTCAAATAATGGGAAGAGAGTGGAGGATATGACTTAATAAGATGCAGAGAAGCCACTTGTAAGTGTAAAGGAAATTATACATATTTTCTGAGGCATTTCCATGTGCACACATAATATACAGAAGTTTGCACTCTTTCTTCATGCTGCTTTCTGTTACTCAGAGAGTGGTACCCATTTGAGCTTTAACTAAACTCTATTGACTGCACTGGCATCTGTCTCCTTCAATAAGGATTGAATTTGACCCATTTTCTCCATGTGTCTAAATTTTTTTTTAACAATTAATCTGTGTAGTGTTGCCATTTTGTTTTTTAATGCTTTTTAAGCTCTCCCAACTGAAAAACAGGCTAAGATTGATGTTTGGTTCTTACTTCTATTTTATGTGTCAGTTTTTTTCTTTGTATGCTTGCATGGATATATGTGTGCTTAAAGCTTTGCCATTTTTTTCAGCTACATTCTGATGGTTGGTAGACCACAGGCTGAGAAGTGCCAGCACATCTGGCTCCTTTTCCTCTGAAGTGCTCTTTCTAACACCTTGTTTTTACAATATTTAAAAAAATAATGCCTATTTTAAAGAAGGGATTGCAGCACTGGCAAATTTAATGCAATAATTGGGAGATTAAGTMGGGTGAGAAAGCACTGGAAAAGTGCACTAAAAACTTCTTTATCAACAATCCTCCTGTCCTCTAACATCTGAAATAAAATAAGGTATCCTTGGAGCATATACAATTGCTGACATCCTGTTTGGGCTTTGATGTGGTGAAGAGCAATTAATTAAGTTTTATTATGGTATTGTATAAATGTCATTACAATTTAATCTCAGTCATGTAGAAACCATCAGTCCTTGAATTTAGTGAGAAATGCTCACTCTGGAATTAACTAGAAAAGCAGGAAAATATTTAAATACCTAGGAAAGGAAGCCTTCAGAACTTAGACTCCCTTCTTTCTGTTACAAGCTCCAATAGCCTTTGGAGGATGCACATAAACAGGGATGAAGAGAAGCTGTGATACCAAGAGGTCAAATCTGTTGAACCCGAGGAAGAATGGACAGCATGTGACACTCCGGTCACATTGCTTCGTTTATTACTGATGTGTTACCATGTCTTTTGTTGATGGATATTGTAAAAGAAAATTGATAGAGAGGGTGCCTGACCTACCTCACAAAATAAAGAGTGTGACATCCTGGCTTCTCAGTCTTGTGTTCAGCTGCTGAGCCCAGTCAGCACAAAGCAGTGCAGGTGCCATCCAGTGTGTCACTGAAGGATGTCCTTGAACACATCACCCTCTTGCTGCTAACCAAATACCTTCGGGTGCGGCAGCCTGACTGAGTGCCATCTGCGGTGCCTACAGGTTTAGTAAGATTTTCTGAACCTGCCCTGCAGCAAAAGCCTTCCAAATGTCAGAGGCTTTTAATTTAATGCAGCAAATGGTCTAATCTTTGCATGTGGTCTAGATGGGCTGAGAGATTTGCAGTTTCTGGTGTAGCTGATCCAAGACAAGGGTTTATTGTGGAAAATGAACCCAAATGTATGAGAGCAGGTTCAGAGCACTGTGCTGAGTGTTTTCCTGTTGGGCAGAGCTGYAGCCTGCAGTGCCTGTAGTCAGTGTTCAGAAGCATAGTGAAGCGAGCTGTAAAATAAGCTGAAGTGTCTCGCTTCTGCCTCTTTTGCTTAAATCTATCTAACAAGACTGCTCATTCAGGTAACCCACTATAATCTGTCCTCTGTTTCATTTCCACGTGCTGTAACAAATTTGGTGCTGTTCAGAAGGGTCAGGAGGGCAGCATTTTATTAAGGCTACAATTAAAAGACTACAAGGTATCTGGAACAAATACTTCTATCAATAAATCCTCCTTTTTTACATGGCCACAAGTAAGCCATTACTGGCTGCTGTTCACCTTGCTGGCTGCTGCAATGATAAAACTCTGGGGACTGGTGTGTGAGACGAGGTGCATGTGGAGGTCTGTGTGTGCATTTGCATGGAAGAACAGCTGCGTGACTGCCAGGAACGTGAATACCCATGGATGCGATTCTGCAGCTGCCAAAGCCAGTTACAAAATTGCTTTCCATTTCATTGCTGCACACTGAAACTAAGGGAATGAGATAAGAAGGGTTTGGCACCCCTTCCC